CCCAATCTGACGAAGGGATAGTCTCTTTTACACACTAATGATTGGATAGTTCGTTTCCTGCGGTGGTTCGTGGGTGATGTATTTATATATATTTTTTTCTTTGGCGCATGGATGTTTACAGTTATACCCTGACGCATGCTTTATCACTTCACTAACGCATGGATTTTCGAATTAGTACTCTGTTTTTCATGTTGATTTAATACATATTTAGTCATTTTCATATTTTGACGCCTGAATTGTCACTTTCATACTCTGACGAATATATTTCAATACTAATTCTGACTCATGGAAAAGGCTTTTAACCTTGAGAGAATGGATGTCCAGGCACCCCCCCATTACCCCCCCCCCTCTCCCTACCACTATCAGCACCCTGGGGCAAGACAGTGACGCTAGTGAGGACAATAGAGGGAAGAACAACAGAGATCTGAAGATAAAATGACACACAAAAACGTGAGTCAGTTTCCCTGTAGGAGCGGAAGAGAGGGTGATTAGCGTGTGTAAGTAGTGTCACTTTTCTTCATTCTAACACTCAATACCATTAATTTTATATACAATGTCATCGAAAAAGAATGACTAGACTCCTTATACATAACCATTAACTATCTGGGTATTCATTTTCGACCACCCTTTATACATATACACCCCAAGGCATAGATGATACAGTGAAACACGAGCAGCGACCAAATGCAGAGACGATATCAAGGGACTGTGCAGCCACTCAATGGTCAAGGAAGGAAGTGTGAAGATAGAAGATAGTGGAAGCTGATGATGATGATGGTATATGATCTTTGCTTTATCACCGGAAGACGAGGCAACACCAGAAGAAATTTACTTGTACCCAGTCCATGATTTTGTATGATTTCCCCATAGTGTATAGATATAACTTACATGAACATTTTTAAAACAAACGTCCACACACACACACACACACACACACAGTGAATAGAAACTTATGGACGCATCTGTTGAATTCTGGTCACCATTCGAGTAACAAATCAACCTTGAGTTGAATCTAGTTTCAGGTTTTAATCAAATTTCGATGTTGACTACACTCGGGTCACCATTTTCACTACTGACGTAAATTTTTGGTAGTTTTTATGATGCCAATGGATGACGTCATACAAGAACGTCGGGACAATAGATACGGCTATGTATTACTGTTTACTATCGGTAGTTAAAAACGTATTATTTTTAATCTAAAGTATAAAGGTTTTGACATCACCAATAAAGAAAGTTTCAGGAAGGTTTTATATCGATCTCACGAGAAAACAACATCAATAAACTTTAAGAGGGTAAGACTGTTGGTAATTATATCCTTTGAGCTGAAACAAAAAAAGAAAAAAAAAACTCAGGGACAGACAAACATCCCCAATATTTTTTTTGTGTTTTCAAGTGAGATAAAAGACGCTGTTTTGTCTCGATCTCAAAACAAAAGAGCATCAACAAAAAATCTGATACTGAGCTCTCGAACGTGTTATTTTGATCTGGAGATAACATTAGATTACCGGATTTTAGGAGATTTTTTTTATGCCGATGTTGTACACGGTCGATCTTGGTATCAGCTCTCGACACAAAAAGAACAACAACTCACAAGATCAGACAATGTGCGTTACATGTAGTTGTTGTTCACTCCAGAGCCGCTGAATCCTCACATGCAATAAAACCTTTAATGGTGAAACAGAGATTAAATCCACTGGCGAAGTCATTCTAAACGCGCTAAAATAGTTTGATTCGTCTGGTTCTCGCTGAACGATAGATTCGATTTTATCTCAATAGTTTCATATAGTATCATTCAAGATGTTTCCGTACGTGATTTCACATTGTAAAATCATACTACAGTTGTCTCGTTGTTACTTTTTGTATTTCGTGTTTCATATAGCGCACGAGTATATTTTATCGAGAGGTCAGTGTGTGTGAGTGTGTGTGTGTGTGTGTGTGTGTGTGTGTGTGTGTGTGTGTGTGTACATAATAACTAAAAACCATTTCCAAGTTATTATAATCAAATACCTTTTTTATTTTATAACATTACTAACGCTACATTGTTTTCATACCGTATATCACATACTGAGGGAAGGAAGAAAGAACACACAACCCTGCCAGCCACACGCCAGGTATAAAATGGACCTGCATTCCTGTGATAAATATCGGTATGATGGTCACGACTGTGGGAACCCTCACTCCAACACTCTGGATGACCTTTGCTCACATGGGACTCATCTAACACTCCTGCCAGGTCACCAAACGTAGATCAAGTTTTTCACCTTCAGGAATTTCTGGTGCTTCTCTCAGTGGTCTTTACTGCTTTCCCTTGCCCTCAGGTCCCGTTCGTTCGGCCGGCAAATCAAACTTGTTTTTGTGCAGTTACCTGAAGTTCCTTGATTACAGGAGACGGGGCGAGGAGGGATCGGTTACATTCCATCACTGAGGTATTATACAGGTACAGAGGTGATAGTACAGCCACAGGTGATAGTCCTCCTGCTCAGTGCTGCACGTGATCAACTGTTCGTTATTGTTGTCAGGACTGAGGCTAGATACATTTACCTCCATTCGCACGTCTGTTTGTTACGTGACCACAATGTAGATTTACCAGTTATAGTAAATGGATGTGTTTTTGCCGTCTGCCTGTCTTGTTTTTTGCACCCTATTTGGTTAGCCTCGGACTAAAGTCAAGGTCATAGGTCATCGATGGAAGTCACTCACACTCAAATATTTTAAAGGAAAAAACTCGGAATATTCTCAACAGGATGTATAAAACTTGAAGGTGTTTTTTTTCTCTCTCTCCACCAACGACCACACTGAGACCCTGTGAACGACATTTCATTTACCTGTTCGTGTCTTTCCGCCCCCAGCTGGAAGAACGACGAAGGATAGAATGTGTGTATTGGCCATAACAACTTACTTTAAAATTACATTAATATGCATGTGAGTTTCATTGACCCTTAAAATTCTTTAATAAGGACGAGTATATTTTCCATGGGGGGGGGGGGGAGACCATTGTAAACCATCACTGTATTATTTATGGATACATACTGAAACCAATGTTATTCTCTTGTTATTGTTATGTATTTTAAGTCATATCACTGCCTAGAATTTTACGAAGGAGACCATTTTATGGCTGGTATGTTCCTATCGACTGTTGTGATGGTGAGGTTGTGTTGTTGATTTTCTAATTACTAACACCTTACCTGCCTCACCTACCTTCTCTGTGTTGTGCCGTGTACCTCGCATCACCAACAACAATAAAGTAACTTACGAATTTATACTTATATTAGAGAGAAAGTGAAAGGGGACGAGAGGGAGAGAGAGACAGAGGGAAAAACAGAGAGAGACAACGAGTTATGTTAATTTCGTGCAGCACCGTGAAGTTGTCGGGGTTGGCGGTGAAGGAGGCAGCAGCGTGTGTGCAAAGGACGTGACGAATCACCGGATACACACACTCGCCACTGAGCACCCAGGAGCCTCCCCCTCGCCAGGGAGCACCCAGGAGCCCACCCTCGTCACAGAACACCTAGGAGCCTCCCCAATCATGAAGCAGCACCTCGGAGCCTTCTCCCTCGTCACGGAGCACCTAGGAGCCTTCCCCCTCGTCACGGAGCACCAAGGAGCCTCCCCCTCATCACGGAGCACCCTGGAGCCTCCCCTTCGTCAAGGCACCATCAGGGGGGGTTTACTCCTCCATCACCAGTAATAAGTTTCTTTAGCCACCGACAAGTGTTGTTACTCTACTGTGACGTTAAGGCTGTTACACTGTTGTGGCGTTAGTGTTGCTCATGCTGTATTGTGGTGCTACTCTGTAATGCTTTTAGTGGTAATGAATGATCGTAGGTTACGTTATGTTAAATCAGGTCAAATTAAGTTTAGTTAGGATAGGTATGGTTATGTTAAGTGATGTTAGGTTAATCTAGGTTTGCTTTGGTTTAGTAGGTTAGGTTAGGTTAGGTTAGGTTTGGTTATGTTAGGTTAGTATTATTTTTCTCGTCTCGGCCATTCAGAGAGTTTAAGATTTGTATTGGCAGAATATCTCAATATCCATCGTCCTTGGAACCAAATACGATTCCGAATTCCTAAAAACAAAAGATTCCCATTATGTAGGTGGTGGCTGATCGGATGGCCCGGACCTGCATTGAAAATCGTCCGGAGAAAGACTTGGCATTATTTGGGTATAAAGTTTTAGTAATTTTCAGCCACGATTTGGGATAATTTCATTCATCCACATGGAAATTGGCGCCATTGTAAACAGAGCTCACCCTTCATCTCGTAAGTGGAGAGGAGTTTCCCTTATCATTCTCTTAACATTACATGGTTAAATAAGCTTCCACGATCATTCTGTATCTTCAAGTATAATCATAAATGTTGATACGATTTTGCCGCGTTGTTAAAAATGATAAGTTTAACATCAACGAGGTTATTTATACACCGTCAACCAATCAACCACTGACACACATAAGAATTCCCCATCAACCAATGATTAATGCTCACATATGAACACTTAGGTGACCAGGGAACAATATCTTATAAGGTAACATGGTCAGAGGTTGTAAATCAGTAAGAAGTGATTTTGTGTTGCGGTCACGGTGGCTGACTCGGCTCTCTCTCCTATACTACTCAAACTTTCTTGTGTTGGCTGACAAAAACAAGGGCAATAAAAAAAAATGCCAACAATAGTCAAACCTGTTGGGGAAAATTATTAAGTTTCTCGAGAATTATAGTTGTTATTTCAAGTGTATATTTATTATGTGTACAGGCCAGACAGGTGTTGGTTACCTGGTTCGTCGCATTCAGCAGCTAACGGGTTAATCCACCCTACTGGCCAGGTGCTAGCTTAACAAGGGGCTGTTTGTTCCTCCGTCGGCAAGCTCACCCGATAATGTGAATGTGAGAGAGAGAGAGAGAGAGAGAGAGAGAGAGAGAGAGAGAAAAAACACCGTTCTATATAAGTAAAAACATACATTACTTAACGTTTCATCACCAAGACTCAAAAGGATACTTCAAAGACATAATCAGACTTTGTTAGTTTATTTACAGTTCCTTCACACTATCTTCATCACATATTTACCTTCACTGTTGCTTTACTATAGAAAATTATACAAACGCTTTGTTTTCCCCAGTATATCTTATCTTACCCTGATGGTCCGTAACTTCAGAGAAACACAATAACATACGCACCTCAGTTACGCACATATGTTTACACACTTGCATTCAGAGACACACATACACACATCCATCTACATTCAGACAGACACACATACACACATCCATCTAAGTTACTCATCACCATCATCAATAACCCCGTCACTCTCTTGTGCTTTAAGTTCCAGCCCGCTCTTAACATTATCTTTGGAATATTAATTAATACTTCACTTATAAATACGACTTACCACTAATAAGTTTTAAACATAAATGTTGGACAGTAGAGTTGTAGTCGGCGGCACAATGCGGAACACACATTTCAATATCATAAGGCAAATATTTAAGTGTCCTAACATGACCAAAACTAACCTAACATCCTTGTTAAGTTTAATAATCGTATTCCACCTTGTGCCGCCGTCTAGGGAACCACTGCCCAGGTGTTTGTTTATACAGCTGATGGGACCTAACATATGTAAATGCAAACCTATGAGTACTGTACCTCGACAAATGCGTCATATTCACAGAAGATTAATGGAGATCCTGTTGAGGGTTACGGTACTGTACAAGACTTTGCCTACCCTAGGGCCGGGATGTGACTAGTAGCTAAGACAAAAAGCCTTGTTAGCACGCTGTCTTGAGAGATGGATAAATATTCAAGGATAATCAAGAGAGTGAAACTAATGAAAGAAACAGAATTATGGCATGAAAGACAATGACAGACAGACAGACAGACAGACAGAAATCGAAGAAAAAAAGACAGTGCTATACTAAACTATTAGTGCAGAGTTCTGTTCGACGTACAGTCTCGTTCAAGATTCTTCTAACACTGCTGGAGGCAGCTGGCAACTCAAGGCCGTTTGTTTACTACAGTAGATAGCAAAAATTATGAATGAATGTAAAAGGTTATTGGTGATTAGTTACTTAGTTCTCTGTTGCTTAATTAATGGTTGGGCTTTGTTGTTTCGTATTATGGTAAACAAACGGCCTTGAGTTGCCAGCTGTCTCCAGCAGTGTTCGAAGAATCTTGAATGAGACTGTACAAATGAGTCAAAAAAACAAAAACAGTAATTTGCTTCTTAGACTACAAATGTACTTTAATTTATTCTATGCATTGGCTCGGTGTATAGTTAGCGGTGAACACTGAAAGCATCGTGGTTAGAGAAGTAACGAGACTGAGCACATATCGTGAAACGTAAGGCAATAACTGTACTGACCTCTCTAGTAAATGCACATACAGTGTTTTTTTTCTTTATCAAAATAGTCTTTGAACTTCCAATACGTCTTACTTACATATACAACAGGCACTTCTTGTTTGTAACCAAATCTGTTCTCCTTGTAATACTTGCAGGAGACATCACGAGACGCCACGACACCTGTGACTCTAAGGTCAAGTTGAGTCGCCAACTCTTGGTGTGAGTCAGCCAGCTGTACATTTTGGACAATTAAGAGAAATGACATCACCACAACCCCTCACAAACATAAGGAACTCTAATACAACCCTTGTACAGTGTGGATAAGTGTTGATAAATTCCACGTTTATGTGATGAAATCTTCACCTCTGTGGCGACTGCACATACTGCAATACTTTTCCCATGTTGATGATGGAGGGATGACTCACATGTTCCCAGAAAACACTTAAAATATCTCGGTCCGCAGCAGCACTTCACAGCACTTCACTGTCAGTTTTTCCTTCACCTGTGGCATACCTTCAGTCCACTACACTTTAAAGAATGTTCACAAGACGTTAATCAGAGTTTTATTATTATTACCATATTTTTTCAATCATAAAATGTTCACCTTTCACAGAGCTAAGAGCAGAAATCCATTTTCCACGGCCATGATTCTTGGCCATCGATATCGTCCTCCGACCTCAGACTCCGCCCATGTGTCTGGGTTATAAGTGTGTTTCAATCACTCGTCACTAAAGACACTACTTAAAGAGATATTTCATAGGATGACTAGTGTTATTCTCTTATGGGTTAACAAGGTCTTTACCAAGTCCGTCAGGTTCTTGTGAGTGTCAAGTACCTATTATAGTTTGAACTTACAGTACACTCAAGCATAATTAAATCATGGTCTAATAATAATCGTTAAGTCAAGTGAAAATTTTGTGGCACTTTTGACAAGTGTCTTTATCGTGTGACATTGTGGCAGGGAATAATAACTTAAAAATTTAAGACATTTCCAGTGAAGTTCGGTAAGCCTGCGAGTGGAGTAAAGTTCACGAGAAAATATAAAGGACTTTTTTTCCATGTAAAGGGACACAAAACACTTGGTAGTATGTAAGTTCAACCTGAGAGAGACAGCGAGAACATGACCTCTAGCAGGCGAATTCTTCCTCTTCATGATGGTTGGGTCGTGCCTGGTAGTGGCTATAGTAGTCGGGGGGAACACCGTTGGGTCTCTTGGTGGGCTCATGGTCGTATTGGTTGTCCCCAGAACGACACTTGCGGTACCAGATGAGGGCAACAAAGACACCCAGCAGCAGTGCAGCCGCAACCGTCGCCCCCAGAATGAGGCCGACCCGGCCCCCTGAGGTGCCCGTCGCTGGGGAAGCCGGAAGTGGCAGTGTCTGTCCCCGGCTGCACCGTGCACCTTCCTCCTGTCAGGTGACAAGTATAAGGGTCTATATGTGTCAACACGAATTACAATACTACTACACTACTACTACTACTACAGTACGACTGCTACTACTACAGTACTACTGCTATTACTACACTACTACTACTACTACTATTACGTTTTTTGTTTCTACTACTACTACTACTAATAATAATAATAATTATAAAATGATAAATAAATTTCAAGTGGTCGAGAAGTAATCCTAAGCAGCGTCAACGCGGATTGATCCATAAGATCTTCATTCAGTTAGCTAGGATTGGTATTCATAGAGCTGCTGACAACTAATCCTATTCACTCAGGTAATGTATCATCTTACCTTTTGTTTGTGGTAGACGGCGTCAACGGTGTGAGCGCGGGCATGACCCAGGGATTTAGTGAGTCCGTGCACGCACACCTGGTATTCCGTGCTGGGCTGAAGTTCCTCTAATAGGAAAGTCCTGGAGGCCAAACCTAGCGTGGGCGAGGACGTCACTTCCGCTCCCGCTGCTTCGCCGTCAGGAGTTTGATAGGTCACCTGTGGATGTGAGGGAGGACAAGTGTTGTTGATATTTTATATGTAAGTATCTCTCTATAACCACCACCCTTGTATACTGACCACCACCCTTGTATACCGACCACCACCCGCATATACTGTCCATCACCACCACCCCGGTATACTGACCACCACCCGCATATACTGTCCATCACCACCACCACCCTTGTATACTGACCACCACCCTTGTATACCGACCACCACCCGCATATACTGTCCATCACCACCACCCCGGTATACTGACCTTGAAGCCATAGACAGCGGAGGAGTTGGACGCCTGCCACGACACCAGCAGCGACTGACTCTGTATGTCCTGGATGGCCAGACGGAGGATCACTGGCTGAGGACAGAAGGTCGAGGATGACATCAGCAGGAACGACTGACCACGCAGCGTCTGGAGTGACAAATAGACAAATCATTAGGTTTTCCAGCAATTTTCTCCCTTTTTGTGTCTGGAGAACTTGTATCATCTTAGATCACTACACAGAAAATAAATACATAATTGATTTTTTTACATCATTCCAATAGACTTTTAAACAGTTCACGTGGGACTTCGTTATAATGATGTCTGTTCGTATGTCTGTCTCACAAGTAGCCAATAGCTTTGCGAGGCTTCAAAAAGATATTGTATAGCACCTAAATTGAACTAGAAGAACATCCACTAATTACGAAAGTCATTAACCAGGAGAGGATACTTACCTCAGGTAGGTCACAGGTAATGTCGTGAGGATTGTGTACTTGTGCGGGGTGGTTGAGGAGCCACGCCCACAGCTCCACCGTCTCACACCCGCATGTCACTGGGTTACCTGTAGGGAGGAGGAGGAAAACAGGTGAGTATTAATGAAAAGGAATATGAGGAGGAGGAAGTACAGAGACTGAGGCAAGAAATTATAAAGATCCTGAGATTATTTCAGTAGCCTTCACAGATTGTATACATCTATTAGTGTATATATATTATTGTATTTTAAGGCTGATGTCACACACTAGAAGAGACCTCACACTGCAACAGACCTCACACTACAAGAGGCCTCACACTGCAACAGACCTCAAACTACAAGAGACCTCACACTGCAAACGACTTCAAACTACAGAGACCTAACACTACAAGAGACCTCACACTACAAGAGACCTCACGCTACAAACAGACCTCACACTACAAGAGATCTCACACTACAACAAAACAACAACTTACCATTGAGGTAGAGTGACTCAAGGGTTTTCTCCACAGGTTTTAGAACAATTGTCCTCAGTACCTCCAGGTTGTTGTGGCTGAGATCGAGGAGAGAGAGTCGAGGGAGGTGCTGGAGGGCGTGAGGGTGGATTACCGTCACCCAGTTGTCCCTCAAGATAACTTCTTCCAGACCCTCAGTGTGACGTAGTGTTGTCTCGTCCAACTCTGTCAACATATTCCCTGACACATCCAGTACCTGTAGTGGTGTAATGGTAGTGGTATTATGGTAGGGCAGTGGTGTAATGGTAGTGCAAAAGTGTAATGGTAGTGGTATTATGGTAGTGCAATAGTGTAATGGTAGTAGTATAATAATAGAAGTATCATGGAGGTATATTAGCAGTACACTACTTATTATAATAAAAATGGCTAGCCTATTTTTTTTAGCCTGTATTGTGATCAAATATTTTGTAACTATATTTTGAGTTATTTTGATTTTACATTTATTTGTCTCACGCAATGTATTCTGTTTTGTAGTGTAAATAAACTCTCGAAAGACTAAGCCAACACACCTTTAAGTTATTGGAGTCAGTGGGCAGTTGGTCGAGTTTCTTGAGTCTGTTTCGGGTGAGATTGAGGTGAGTAAGTGTCACCATCCCTCGTAATCTCTCTCGAGGCAAGATTTCCAGCATATTGTGCCCCAGGTTGAGCGTCGAGAGCTGAGAGAGACTTTTGAAAGCTCCTGGTGACACTTTACTGATGGCCCCGCGTTGAAGGTTGAGAGATCTGAGTGCCGGCATGTGGGAGAGCTCGAAACTGGTCAACACCGTCAGGTTGGTGTGAGTCGCCTCCAGTTCCTCCAGGGTGTCTAAAGTGACGCCCCTGGCCACAGCTGGTCCTGTCAGTCGGTGGAGAGGGTTGCCGGAGATATTGAGGCTCTTTAGGTTAGTCATACCGTCGAAAAACATCGAGTCGGGGAGCTGCAGAAGGTGATTCTCGGCAAGATTAAGACGTCTGAGTGAAGAACCTCGAAAGCTGCCTGTGGGAAAGTCTGTGACCATATTGTCCGATACATCCAAGACCTCAAGGTGTTGTAACTGCTCCATCGTTGAGATCTGTACGTCATTCATCAAGATGTTAGAAGCATACAGTTCTTTCAGGTTTTGAAGTTGTCCAAGTGCTGGGCAAAGATCCCTCATAGGATTGCCGCTGACGGAGAGAACCTCCAGTTTCGTCGTGATCAAGAATGATCTACAGCTGTTTAATCCAGCACTGTTTCTACTGAGATCAAGTTTTGTGAGGTCAGAAAGTCCCATGAATGAGGTGGGTTTGAGATATGTAAGTCGATTTCTTCCTAAGTCTAAGGATTTCAGTGCCATACTTGCATCAAAGAACTTTTCGGGTATATTTTCAATATCGCAGTCATTCAGGTTTAAAGTCTCAAGGTTTGGAAGACCAACGAAACTGTTAACATCCAGTATTTGGAAGCTGTTGCTGCTTAGGTCAAGGTTCCTTAGCTGTGTTACCTTGAGGAAGCCTTCGTCAAGGTGATGCAAGTCATTGCCTCGTAAACTCAAGCTTTCTAAGGACATGAGAGCTTCAAAAGAGCCTTCCTCTATCTCTCCAACATGTGCGTGGTCAATGTTAAGCTGCTTTATTGGGAGCTCCGTTTCAAAATATTCCTTTTTGATAACAGTCAATTCGTTTTCTGACAAGTCCAATTTATCTAGATTCGTTAAACTTTGGAATGCATTCCTAGCGATTTCTTTTATGTTATTTTTGTTCAAGTAAAGTTCAGTTAGTGACTTGAGGCCATGAAATGTCTTCTCGTTGACGGACTCTAAGAAGTTCTGCGAGAGGAAGAGTTTCCGCAGGTCAGTCATGTTGATGAACACATTGTCTTCTATGTTAGCAATGTGGTTTTCCTCTAAGTGTAAGTGCCTAAGGTAAGTAAGATCACTAAAAACTCCTTCTACAATCACCGATATGTTATTGCGATCAAGCCAGAGGAAATCCAGTTGTCCTTGGCCACTGAGAGCTTGTTGATGAAGGCTGTTGAGGTTGTTACCGGAGACGCGCAGGTACCGGAGGGCGCTGACGTCGTGACTCAGTGTGTCCGGGAGCACAAAGATCTCGTTCTCCTGAAGACTCAAGTGTTCTAACTTCTGAAGACTAGAAAAAGCCCCTGTAGCCACCACTTCTATCTTGTTATTTTGCATGTGAAGTTCGTTGAGTTCTGTCGTGCGAGAAAATAAACCTCTTTTGATCATTGCTATTTTGTTTTTCTGCAAGAAGAGTTTCCTTAATTGTGTTGTGTTCTTGAAGGTTATTTCATTTAGTTCATTTATCCTATTGTGGTCAAGTTTCAGTGTGTGAAGATTACCATTGGCCATGAACAACCGTGGGTATATTTCCTGAATGTTATTGTGACTCAGAAGTAATGTCTCCAGCTGTGTCATCTCCCTGAAGGTCTCCAACTCAATGAATCGAATAGCATTGTGCTCCAAATTAAGAACTTTAATACTGGAAGAATTTTCAAAGGTTTCTCGTGTTATCTCCCGTATGTTGTTCCTGGAGAGTACAAGTTCCTCCAGCTTTGGGAGGTTACAGAAGAGGCCGCCTTGGATGACTTGGATGTTGTTACTGCTGAGGTCGATGATTCGTATTAGTGGAGTGTGAGTGAAGGTGTCCTGGTCTAGCTCTCTGATGCTGTTGTGGCCTAAGAAAAGCGTCTCCAAAAGCGAATTTTCCTTAAAGGCGTTTTTGGCCACACTGGAAATGAAATTCATGTAGAGAGAGAGTGAGATAAGCCCGGGCACTCCAGCCAGGCTCTTGCTCTTGATCTTATGGATTTTATTACTGCTGAGATCAAAGTATTCGAGAGAAGGGAGAGGTAAGGCCGGGTCTATGTCTAGCTCGGAAATGTGATTCCACGCGACTTCCAACCTCTTGATATTTTTCAGCTTCTGCAGTGAAGTTAAAGGTAACTGCTTCAGGTCGTTGTTAATCAAATTGAGTTCTTGTAACGATTCTTCCAGATCATCAAATGCAAAATCAGATATCAAACTGATCATATTCCCTTTTAAGCTCAATTTCTGAATGTTGACTTTCGTGAATATGAAGCTTGGAAGATCTGTAATGTTGTTTGACTCAAGGTTTAGTTCTTGAAGCTTCGACAACTTATGGAGCGCCGCTTGAGGAACTGCTGACAGCTTACAGTGCTGGATACTTAGTTTTTCGAGGGTTGACTCCAGCCCCCTGAGACTTCCGTCAGCCACATTCTCTATATTAGAGTGAGAGATCTGCAGGTTGACTACACCAGCGCTCTTTCCAAAGATTCCCGACGGAAAGGAAGCTACATTGGTTTCTAGGTCGTAGATGCTGAGACTCTTGATGGGTTCCCGGACCAGACTCAAGGCACTCGCCACCGTCTCCAGCGACACCATGGGACACTCCATAAAGATGCCATCGTCGTTGTTATAGCAAGGACACCACGGGTTGTCCTCCCACCTGGGGCATCCTGAACCTGGGGTCTCCTGGGCTGTGGTAATGAGAGGCCACACTAACACCCACACCGCCGCCACCGCCCCCAACATCCCGGCGTGTCTCCTCACCATCTCACCAACATCGCCTGCAAAAACAAAATTGTACCTTGAACTACGTGTACCTTGTCAGTCCCGTCCTAAGAAATGATTTACAATTTTAGTTCATTTCACGAATCTGACGTAAGCTCTCCTGTAAACAAAACTTCACAATTATTAAATGAAGAAACACACACACACACACACACACACACACACACACACACACACACACACACACCGGTAAACCTGACAAACATCCTTCACATCTGGATTCTCTTTAGTTTCTCTCACCTCAACTGCTTTTCTTCCTGCTATACAAGTTCTTCCCTATCCATTTGTTAAGATATTCATTAATTAAAATATAAAATGTCAAGTAAACTTCATGCTAACTTTCTGCATTATTAATTCTATAGTGTCAAAATTCACAGAAAACTGCAATCATCACCATCATACCTTGAGTTTTATCCTTAATAAATTCTCGGAGGGTAAAACCACTCCTTCTCTCCCCCCCACAAAAACACCCTCCCCGCGCCACCACTGAGGAACTGAGTCACAAATATACTGTACATGTGTTAAGTTCCACTAAATTTTCCTGTAGTTGTGGAGATGAATATTTCGGGCTCATATAAGCTGTAAGACACAACAAACCTGGTTGTCAAATTGCGTCAAAATTGCCCGAATCTCTACAGCAAATAGGTGTTTTCTGGCCATAGTTTGAGGGGGAAAATCTATGGTAAAATCTTAGATAATTTGGATCTTGTTTACCGTGAGTTGTGTGTGTCTGTAATATTCTATGTGAATCTCTCAAAGTCATAAGATGCCATTACATATTCCGTACAGACTGGTCCATTTGTGAGTCTGTGCTAGTCTATGAGTTCCCACAAGACGCCATCAAGTATTCTGTACAGACTGGGCGCTCAGTGTAAGTCTGTGACCCGCCACGAGACGCTAACACGTGTTCGCGTTACAGACTGGGGTGAGCAAGAGAGCTTCAGCTAACTAGTTTTTCCTCGGCCTTGGAACCTCTCGTCTCCCAGCCGGTGCTGTTGATTCATGAGGACGCTACCAGCTGGCGGCCAAGTACCTACCTAGAGCCAGGAAGACGGCGGGGGGAAGGATAAAAAGAAGGAACAGGTGGTAGGAAGAGATACAGATAGACAGATGGAAAGAAAGAAAATGAGATGTGAAAAGAGAGTTATAATGTAAAAGCTGAATTAATTCCTTTAATTTAATTCAGTGACGTAGTATTCTTTATAATGATGAATATTTTACCTCTCTCTCTCTCTCTCTCTCTCTCTCTCTCTCTCAACTTTTTACACGAATGCCTCTCCTACATTAACTTATTACATTAAACCCCCTCTCTCTATCTTCTTCCTCTTCCTGCATTCCTCCCTCCACTGCCACACTCTCTCTCTCTCCCTCCCTCCCTGTCTCGCTCCATCTCACTCTACTTCCACACCCTCCCTTTCTCTCCTCTTACCATCCTTCCTCCACTCCCTTCTCTCTTTCTCAATTCGAGTCTTTCTTTATCTCTCTGTCTCTCTGTGTCTCCTCCCCTTCAGTCTCCATCCTTTCTGTTTTCACTTTCTTTGTTTTTCTTCCTTCCATCCTTACCCTCCTCCTTCCCTATCTTCTTCCAATCTTTCCCATTTTCTCCCTCCCTACCCTCCCCTTCCTTCTCTCCCACCTCCACCTCTTCCCCCTTCTTCCCCCTCTCTCCCTCCCACCACAGCATCCTCTCCCTCCCTCCTGCCCTCTAACAGGGCATGTCACTCCTCCCATATATACATGACTTGTGAATTATATTTTCCTTTCATGAAAAAAAATATTGCGTCTAAAAGATACATGAAACTGCACTTTATTTATCCTCCCTCTCCTTCTCTATTTTCACCTTCTTCCTCATCCTCCCTCTCTCCTCTCCCTCATTATCCCTCTCTCCTCTCATCTTATCCCTCATCCTCTCTCCTCTCACCCTCTCTTCCCCCTCTCTCCCTTTCCTCACTATTCCTCTCCTTTCCCTCATTATTCCTCTCTCCTCTTACCCTCTCACTCATCCCCCCTCTCTACTCTCCCTCATTCCCCCCTCTCACCTCTTACCCACTCACTCATCCTCCCTTTCTACTCTCCCTCATCCCCCCTCTCATCTCTCAGCCTCTCCCCACCGTGAGAGGCCCCGAGGGAGGCGGCAGGTGTGGACCGCGTGGTGAGGAGTATTTTGGTCGTCATCCCCACCCTCATCCTAACCCTCACCCCCGTTCTCATCCCTGCCCTCACCCCTGCCATCATCCCTGCCTTCACCCCTGCCTTCACTCCTGCTTTAATCTCTACCTTTACCTCTGCTTTCATCCCTGCCCTCACCCCAACCCTCACCTCTGCAATCATCTCTGCCTTCACCCCTGCCATCATTTCTGCTTTCACCCTTGCCATCACCCCCGTCCTCAATCCAGCCCTTCTAACGACCTTTCACCCCAGTCTTCTCCCCAAGAACCACATCCCCGGTCTCACCCCAGCCCACAGCCGTCACCCCCGCTGAGTGCTCCAATCAACCACTCACTGTGACAGCACCAAACACTGACTAGCTAACAACAACTCACTGCCATAGTACCAAAAGTTAGTAGCAAAAATTAACACAGAACAACAGTAGCGCCACTGGTCAGGGATCGAGTATGGGAGAGACAGAAGTACCTGGAGGGGGTGGAGAGGTAGGGGGTGGAGGAAGGTGAGAGGGAGGGGGTGGGGAAGGGGGGGGAGGAAGGGGTGACGATAGACCGGGTACTCAGGTGTGATTATTTGGACATGTGAGTGAGGCCCACCAAAAACAACACCTGTTTATCAGCCTTTGGTTCACGAGGTGTTGTCGGGTCCTCCCTGCCAACACTAACCAAGCCTCTCCCTTCCCCTCTCCCCTCCCTCTCCGCCTCTTCCCTCCCCTTTCCTCTTCATCCCTCTACGCCCAATCCCAGCATCCCTCTTCCATCATCTTCAGTCTTCACTCTTCTGTTTTCCCCTAATCCCTCGTCCCCTTTTTTCCCCTTTCCTCCTCTCTTTCATCCCTCTTCCTTCCCTTCTCTCACCGTTTTCACTTTTACCTAACTACTCATCTTTCCTTCTCTCACTCCTTTATACTCCTTATCCCTCTCAGCCCCTTCCCTTACTTTTCCTTCCCCCCTCCTACTCACTACTTCTTCTCCTCGTCCTCACTACTTCTCCCTCTCGTCCTCACTACGCCTTCTCCTCCTCCTCCTGTTTCAAGAGTCACGGGAAATATTTCTAGAATCTGCCGCGAGTCTCTTAAATGACCGGCGACAGAATCTCCATTGATACAAGTGTCACGACAGCTTAAAGGCGGTATTGAAGGCTGGTAAATTCTAATCCCCCAAACCTGCGTAGATCAGAGCGGCATATCAAGAGTTTTTACGAGAACTCCAGAAACAGCTATTGCCTGGTATGTCAAATATGTTGCCACAAATTCACTTCCTTTACACGAACAAATGTTAGTAAAAAAACAAACGGATTAATAAAGAAAGAAATAGGTACATAAAACAAATAGGAATCTAAAAATATAGGCTCTTAGGGGATATATTTAGCATCTGTTTTGAAAGTGGGTCTCATAAGTCTGACGGACAGTTAAGGGCGATGGGATTATAGCATAACGAAGCTTAAGTTCTCGGTGTACAAGGATGCACTGAACATGACCGTTTTCACTCTCCCGATTGTAAAGTTAGGCACCTGTTCCCAACCATTAACCCTTAGTCGAATACTGTATTTATTTGTACGACTCGTCTTATAGTAGAGGATTATGATATGATAGCACGTGGAAAATACGAAGCCCAGGCTATTTCACCTGATGATTAACCATTTTAACGCTACCTGGGGGGGTTAAGTTAGGTCAGGTTAGATTGGGTTTGGTTAGGTTAGTTTAGGTAAGATAAGGTTAGGTTGTTTAATCTACAGGTGATTCAAATACTCTTTTCTTATACCTCAACACTAAAGAAATTGGCCGTGTATCAAGCTTACATTTGTTACAAGGGACCTGTACTGTACATCACCTGAAGAGTTTATGACCTACCTTAGTGAGGACACCTGGCTGAAACACTCCCATAAACACTCACTAATATTACCTGTAGTGTTGTTGACATTACGATGTTAACTTCCTGAGTCAGATTTTATGAGACACTCAGCACATTAGAGGAGTCAGATTTTATGGGGCATTCAACATATAAACCGCACCAGATTTTAAGGGACTGGTAGCATAAGAAGAAGGATTTTAACATTAGAGAAATCGGTTCTAGGATACTTGGAACGTATAAAAGAAGTGTTTACGGGCAACAAGGGTTCAGTGAGGAGGGTGGTCGTCTCACCGCCCACTACTGCACTAACCACAGTCACGCCCACACACCCACGATATGCAATTAGTGAGTCTCCCTCTCTTTGTTTTTGCTACACACGAACACGTAAGTAACTTCATCTCTATGTCTCTCTCTCTTGCACATGTATTATCTCTTTCTTTATCTCGCCCTCTCTCTCTTTCTTTATCTCGCCCTCTCTCTCTTTCTTTATCTCGCCCTCTCTCTCTTTCTTTATCTCGCCCTCTCTCTCTTTCTCTCTCTTTGACACGCACACATATGTAATGATATGTCTCTGTGACTCTCTTACATTCTACCTCTCTCCTCTCCTGTGAATGTTCTCACTTACACGCACGCACACAACACACACACACACACACACACACACACAACACACACACACACACACACACACACACATACACATAACCTCTACTTCCTCGTCCCACGGCCAAATCTCCACTCTGTCATCACTGTATTTAGTCGCTGCCAGACTGCGGGGTCGCTTGTCAAGGGTTCCTCTAGTTTTCGTTTTCAGGTGTACAGTATGTTACTCCACGACAATTCTGTACTTGTCCCCCTCACCTCAGTCTTTTAGCTGTCGTGTTCTACGTTTACAGGACAAAAAGCTCGTGTTTGTCCACCAGAGTCTTTCATCTGTCGTTTTCAGGTGTTTAATGCACCAAAAAAAAAAAAGGTGT